GCTCCTAGGTCAAGACTAGCCCTACCTAAACAGCCTGAGTAGAACGCTTTCTACCTGTAAAGTTTTTAGCCCGCCCTCCCCACCCTTGGTGTTCTTAAGCCTCAAGCCTTGACGCCCAGGTTCGACCTACGTGGTGAGCTCCTCAGCCTTTGGAGCCACTCTTGTTTCACACTTCCTGCTTTAGCCCACTTTTTCAGCAGACTGGTTAGGCCCGCTAGCCTTACAAACCAGCCCAGCTTACAGGCCCGCTGGCTTCAGGCACTGAGCCCGCTGAGCTTACGTCAGCCCTCGCTGGGGCCTCATGTATGCACCAACCGCGTTTGGGTGCCACATCAAGCCTGACCCTGCTAGGTCAGCCTGATCCCGCATGGCTCAGTTCTTTGTTACGTTTCACAAAAGCCTGAACTCGTAGTTCAGCCCAGAGACTCTGGTTTTCGCTTTCACAAGGGGGTGGAAAGAAAGGATGCCCGGGCTTGAGCCTGCAGCCCTTTTCAAGCCCTCCTTTTGCAACTCACTCAGAGCAACCCAGAGAAAAGGTGTGAACTTCTGCAGCTGTGTGTAGTGGCTAGCTTAGTACCTAGGAGCAGTGCAAGCCCACAGAACGTGGTCGACCGAAGAATTGCGGCATTGGAGGAGTCTCTGACCGACGTCAAGTTGGCACTAGCTACCCTGGTAGAGCAGAGGCGTCCAGAAGCAGATCGACCGCGAGCTCCGGCTCAGGAGCCGGCCAGCAAAAAGTTGAACATCGGTGGCCTGGATCGGGGAGTTGTGGCCTCGGACGTGCAGCTGGGATTCCGGACGAGCTCTCAAAGCCAAGCCCCGGACGATAGGAGATCTTCCAGCTGCTCCGGCCCGTGCGGGGCCCCGCGACGAAGATCAGGCAGAGCCAGAGGCAGGCGGGCTGGGTCGGGCGAGGTCGGTGGCCATGTCGAGAAGGCGGCTGGAGCTGACCATAGCCAAGGTTCTCAGGGCATCCAAGCAGGACCTTGGATGACAAGGCGGAGAGCTCCACGACAGGATCTTCCAGACGGAGCCCCGCCGCTTTGGCCGCCTTAAAGAAAGCTCTTCGGGGCTCTCCATCCACAATCTTGGAGACGCAGCATGCGCGAAGATTTTGGATTGTGCGAAGCTTTGCCTGGGGAGCCTCAGGGTCAGACCACGGCCCGTGCTTGGCTGCAGTCGAGATCAAGGGTCCAGAATTAGACGAATCGCATCAGGTGGATGTGGCAACTTGCTGCGGACGGTCTGATGCAAGACAGAGTGCAGGAGGCCAGGGCAGAGTGAAAGCTGGAGGGCGGACGGAGGATATCAAGGGTTTTCAGGCTGGACCTTTGCCTTTGGAGCTCTCTGCGTGCAGTCTGTTAATTCATTGCCCAGGCATCTCTGCATTTAGCCAGTGCTCTGGGTTGTTTTGCGAGAAGCATATTCAGACAGGAGAGTCGATCAGGACCCCATACCGCATTTGCATCTTCTGATCCGTGGCCTATGCCACCTCCTTACCCTGAGGCCTATCGGGAAGCTGGGGATGATTTCCGCAGACGTGCTCGGAAGCGGGCCGTGAATTTCGTGGTAGTGGCTCTGTCCCTTCTGCATCTTCGCGGAGTTCGGCAGGCCCCCTCAGCCATGACTGTAGACATGAGGTTGAATTCCAGGCAGTGGTCAGTCGTTAGGAGACTTGAGAAGATGTTGGATGCGTGGCTGATGCACCCTTTGGTTACTTCAGAGAGCATGGGCCGAAATGCAGCGAAAATAG